AAGACCCAACTGGCCAGACAGACTCCCTTAAAAAACCATTTATTTGAACCCAGGCATGGTGTGAACCCTTGTAACTTCAGCACAGGGGGCACTGAGGCAGGAGGACCACAAGTTACAGGCCAGCCTGGGCTACATAGTGAGATCCTGTCTCAGACACAAAAAGAAAATTCTTAGGAGATGAGGCAACAGTCAGGTCAGCTGAGAGTGAAGAGCTGGGTGCAGAGGTCGTCCTGTCGGCCCAGCAGACCTTTAGTGGGGATGAACTCCAGGGGCACTGACCCAGGTGCCTTCTTCTTCAGGTCCTGCTCAAAGATCTGCAAAGGACACAGTGGCTTTGGGCTGGATGCAGTGATCCCTGTGGCGGGCACCCCAACAGCCTGTGCACGGCCCTCACCTCATATGCAGTAAGTTCCAGGAGTGGCGCAATGCTGACCTCGGGGACAGACAGCACCTGGTTGATGACGCCGGCAGCTTTGGACACCTCAGGGTGGTAGTGCTGCTGGAGGGTCTAGGAGCAGCACACAATGATGTCAACAGGAACTTCACGACATACCAGCAGGACCTTGGGATGGAGCCTGAAGTCCTGAGCCAACGTGGGGTTGCCAGTAACTGAATACCTTGGCACACCCTGGCACGGTGCCCTGTGTGACCAAGATCCCCGGGGGCTGCTAGAGATGTGTCAGTGGAGACTCAGACGCCTTCTAGAATCTGGACAGGAAGGTGACTCACCTGCAGCTCCCACAAGCAGCTCTCCAAGGCATGGCTCCTGGCTGGGTCCTTCTCCACTGGGTCGTAAGGATCAGCATCTAGCTCTACAAACAGGATCAAGACTCCATTAGCCACCTGGCCTTTGGTGTCACAGGAGCCAGATATGATTCTTGCTAGGGTGTGCCACCATGCCTGCTCACCAGGGCCCTGTGGGCGGTGCACCATAACTCGGCAGGCAGGGTGTCTACGCAACAGGTTGCAGATGAAGGGCAGGACCATGAGCAGGGCTTCGGGAGGCGCTGTGAGGGCCAGCCGGGCCAGGCGTTTGGCAAAGGCAGCCACCAGGTAGGCGGGGAGGTGACTGGGAGGACAAGAGGTGAGAAAACAGGTCCCCAACCATCCTTCCACCTTCTCCCCAACCAGAACTACAGCCCCCACAGACCACTGGACACCCCCAACACTCACGAGGAGGAAAGGAAGAGGTCGGCCAAGTGAAAGAAACGGGCTCGGTACTTGACATGAAAGATGGATGGATCCAGGAGGCCATAGAGCTTTTGGTAGAAATCAGGGTATTCCCTGAGGGAGGGACCGAGAGGATACAGGAGGTGAGCTGGTTAAAGGGACAGAACCCCCGGCAACCAAAGCTCCCCTCTCGCACCTCTTCTGCATTAACCTCCCCCAGGTGAGCAATGCAGGCCCTTGAGAGAAACGAGAGAGCAGACCAGTGTGGGACCGTCTGACACTCACAGGTTATGCTTGTGGATTAGGATGAAAAGCCCGTTTAAGGCCAGGAGGCTGATGGCACCGCCTGCAGAAACACGGAGACATGAGGCTACACCTTGCTCACCCTGGGCCTGAGCAGGTAAGGGAAGGATGGGCAGAGCTGCAGGTGGCCAGTCTACAGGGTGACTACCTAAGGCCACATGCAGGAAGGTCATGGAGTTTAGCTCAGGTCTTTCAGGCAGGAGATGGCAGCTGGACCCACGCACAGTGAGCGCCCTTGCCAAATCGCCTAGGTGGAAGTCCTACTCACCCACATCACAGGCACTTGTAAGGAAGTCAATCATGAGGGTGGGCTGAGCCAGGTAGGGCAGGATGGAGTCATGCATAGCCACCAGCACCTTCTTGTAGAGGCTGAGGGGCAGCTGTAGAGATTGTGGCAGTCATGGAGCTATTCCCCTTTCCCCCACCCCCCACCCCCAAACTGGGTGCTTTCACCCACCAGACCCTACCTTGTGCTTGAGGAAGCCAAGCCACATCTCCTGGAAAGCTTTTCTGTGCTCCTGCAATGGGACCAGGCAGCACATGTATCCTGACACACCCCAGCCCTTCCGGCCCTTCTGCAGTCAACTGGGAGCCTCTGACCCGGACAGCCCATGCCAGACTATGATGCCATGTCTCAGTACAAGCAACAGAGGGCACAGGGACTCGGGTCTGAAGCTGGTTACAATGACACATAAGTGGCATCACTTGAGACAGTGGAGTACAGTTATTGCCTATAATCTACCCAGAGAGGAAAAGGCCTTGCCAAGGAAGGTCTCTGAAAGCATCTTACCTTCAAGTGAACGACCTTCCACTTGTCCGATGTCTCTGTAATTACAGCAAAAAGGGGTCACCAACTTGTAAGAGGGGGAGACAGTAGCTTGCCAGGCTGACTGGTCTGGACTCTGTTCAGGAGCCCTCCTATCAGCAGGCAGGCTCCAGTGGGCTTTAACCTGCACAGAACTTACGTGTATGCTTCACATAGAAGTTGGTGAGGAGGTCATGCTCTTTGAGGGGCAGGTTCACGGCAGACAACAACATGAAGGCGTTGTTCCAGAAGGTGAGTGACACCTGTAGGAAGCCTAGCCTGAGCAGCTGTCCAGGCTGCTGCTATCTCCTTGCCTCCCTGAGGTACTAGGACACAGGATGGTGATGGGACCCAGCTGTTTACCTCAGGTTGCTGGCTGGTGGCTCGGGCCACAATGCTTGTGGCCACCTGCATTGTGTGGTACCGGATGTCATCATATTCCAAGTACTCACAGAACTGGGAGATAAGCAGGCTGTGGTCATCCTCGGGTGTGAGCAGGCCTCCTACCACTGCCTGGGGACAGAGTTGGGTGAATGACTTTCTCCCACAGAGTGATCCTAGCATGGCCAAGAAGGGTGTCACAACCCTGCCAAGCTCCACACCACCCGGCTGTCTGCCATTTCCTCTCCAACTCACGAGACAGAGACCAGAAAGCAGTAAGCCCTGCTTAGCTCCCAGGTCAAGACAAGACCGGAACATAATATCCCCCAGCTATCTGTTCAGACAGTTAGCCCGTGGAACCATCTTAGGCTGTGGCCACCACAACCCTCCAGGTCCCACCAGGGCCTCACCCTGAAGAGTGTTCGGGGGAAGAGGTAGTGACTTTCCCACTGGGGCTTCTCCAGGGGCTTTGCTCCTTCCAGCTGCACAAACTTCATGAGTGTCTTGAGGGCCAGCTCCTGGGAAGCAGAGAAGAGTGACCATGATGTCCCCATCCTCCAGATGGCCTGCCAAAGCTCATCTAGCCTGAGGGTCTCTCACAACCAGGCTTAGGCCTGGGCCAAGAAGCAAGAGAGAAAGGAGACCCCAATCTTATCTTGCTCCATGTTCTAAGTATGTGATGATGGTGACAGTGACATGCTCTTGTTAACTTGGGACAGAACTGTTACAATTCTTGTAACAGAATTTGGCCTGAGGTGTGTAGTGGTGTTTGCTCTGCCCATGACCTTGGGCTACAGGGCCTAAAGGAGGTGGTGCTTTCTGCCGTTGTATGTGAACTCTGATAAGGAAAGGGATAGGGGTCACATGGATAGAGAAGAGAGAGGTGGCTCAGTGGTTAAGAGCACTGATTGATGTTCCAGAGGAACCAGGTTCAATTCCCAGGTCGTCCACAGTCCGATCATGCCAGGACCAAAAAAATAATAAATAAAACAAAGGGACCATGTCATGGGCGGAGCAAATACCACTCCAGCAGTGTGCACACAAGGTGGGCTTGCAGGGGGAGGCCACCTAACTGCCCTCTTGTCATGCAGTTTTGGAGACACCACACCAAACATGACAATAAACGAAGCAGATATGGTTGCAGATTCCATGTCTTAAGGGCCAGCTGAATCACACCACAGTGAAACAGCTGTGTGGAAGACAAAAGTCTAGGTAGAAAAGCTTCTCTTAGACAAGGAAACAGATGTTCACATCAACAGCAGCCCTACCTCTGCTTTGTGAAGTACTTTGGAGAGGAGGGGAGAAGCTGGGTCAAGGACTTCAAGACTCACCTTGACCTGGAAGGAGGGATGGGTCAGGAGCTCCTCCAGGCGGTTACAGCAGCTGTGATAGCGGTGTCTCATCCACACTTGGTATTTGTGTGTGGCTCCCTGGGATCCTGACGACAGAGGAGAGCTAACTCCCACTGATGCTCACGTGTGCCAAGCCAGACCAGAGTCCTAAACCCAGCCTCACCTTACCACTGTCTTCCATCCTCACAGCTGTAAACCTGTACCCAAACCAGGCCTTGGAAAAGACAATTTCTGAGCTCTGCCAAGTGGGAGTAGGTATTGAGACACAGTTCCTCTCATTTTGCCTCAGAATCTGGATCTCCCAAGCACTAGGACAGTGACAGTATCAAACTTTGGGAGTGGCACAATTGAAACATGAAGAGGGAAACAAAGCTGCTAAGTATACGACTTCATGTAGACCTGGCAAGTACACAGATCTCCCTTCCTGAACCACAGTGGACTGAGTCCTCCTACACCATATAGTCTGTGACAAGGCCCTGGCTTGGGGTGTTCCTCCTGGTGTTAACAAGGCGTCCCACTGGGGCGGGCTGGTGGAGAGCACCCCAAGACCCTCTAAGTCACTCACCTGCCAGGACCGTGTCCTCGTGTGGCAGCGAGCCCACGAACAGCTCTTCCCGCTCCAGCAGGGTACCGAAGAGTCGGCTGCATGTGCGCACTCCTTCCTGGATCTCCTCAGGGTCCTCGGACTGAGGCGGGAGGCCAGACAGGGTGACGCTGGGCACCGTTGTGACTCCCACTTGCCGCCCCAAGTCCGCCCCCGCCGCTCACCTGAAGCACCGCCAGGATGTCAAACACCGCGTTGGCCTGGCCACGGCTCGTTAGGACCGCTTGCAGTAGACGGCCAAGTTCCCCTCGGGAGCCCGCGGAAGCCGGGTGGCGGTCCATGAGGCTGCTAGCGGCTCCCGGGAACGGATGCCTGCGCCCAGCTTAGTCGCGCCTGTGACGTCACCAGCGCCTGATAGGTCCGCCCCCTGCCCGCGTCATCAAGGGGCGCCGAGGAGCGACAGCGTGTGCGACTATGGCGCTGTTCCATGTTGCGCGCTACGCGGGCCCGGAGGCTTCCGAGCTGGGGGATGCAGAGGCAGAGGCGGGCAGCCGGGCGCGAGTGCTGCTCGAGCGACTGAAGAACCGAGCCCGTGAGCGGCAGCAGCGGGAGCCGAAGCCTGAGTCCGCCGAGGTGGCCGCGGAAGCGGCAGGCAAGCGGCGTCGACGGCCCCGGCGGCGGCGTGGGGTAAGCGGCTCGGTGGTTCAGAGCCCGGAGGCTCCTAGAGCGAAGCGGCAGAAAACGGACAACAGCGCGGTTGCAGGTGGGCTGTGCGTCCGAGATGTGGACGGGGCGTGGAGGCTTTTCCTGGGTGCGTTGCGGGGTTGATGTTCCCTACACTGTGATGTGTCGCTCAGGGAGAGGCGAGGAGGCGCCTGGGGAGCTCAATGCCGGCGCAGAGGACTCAGATGAGAGGCCCCCAGAGCAGGCCCCAAGATCCCGGGCTCCAGGCCCGGTGCTGGGGGACTTTGCAAGGAGGAAGACACCGAAGGTGAGTCTGGCCGTCCGCCTGCTACTCATCAGACTTATCGGGGAGGTTTTTTTTGTATGTTTGTGGGTCTTGTTTTGTTTGTTTCTGCCATTACGTGACTCCTAACTACAGAATAGCGGGAGAATTCCTGGGGGTATGTGTGGACGGACGCTCTTGAAACTGAAATCCAGAGTCATGTAAGAGCTATTGGGATAAGCCCTATGGTGTGCCTGGCGGCCCCACGTAGACAGCATCATTTCTGGGTGCAGGGAGGCAGTTGCTGGCCTGGGTGTCTTGTCCGAAGGCTGCAAGAATGGGTGGTGGTGAAGGGTTGAGGAGAGACTAAGTCAGCTCTTGCATCAGGGTTGACTGCTCCATTGTGCGTGTTGTTTCCTTTCTCAGCTCCCCTTGCTGGCCCTAAAATAGGAGTCAGGGTGGCTTGAGGAAACCTGTCCTGCTAATATGCTCTTCACCCTGTTAACGTACCCTTTTCCAGCACTTGCTCTCTCACCAGATGCCTCTCCAGAAGCTGCTGTTAGGGTCTCTCCTGTAGTTCCAGGTTCCTGATGTTGCTCCACGAGCCTGGAGGGCTCTGAGGAACTCCTGTGGTTTTTCTCTCTCTTTTTTTTTTAAAGATTTATTTATTTATTATGTATACAGTGTTCTGTCTGCGTGCCAGATCTCATTACAGATGGTTATGAGCCACCATGTGGTTGCTGGGAATTGAACTCAGGACCTCTGGAAGAGCAACAAGTGCTCTTAACCACTGAGCCATCTCGCCAGCCCCGGTTTTTCTCTTTTTTTAGGTGCAGCCTTTCCTGCCGGCATGGCTGGCAGAGCCAAGCTGTGTCAAGAAGAGTGTCACTGAGGATCTTACTCCTATCGAGGACATCCCTGAGGTTCACCCTGACTTGCAGAAACAGCTGAGGGCTAATGGCATCTCTTCCTACTTTCCAGGTACTGCAGCCCTGAGCAGATGATGGGGTGAATTCCTCGAGGCAGCCATCCCTGGGCTGTCAGAGCTCTGGTATAAGAGCTGTGGTTTAGTGGCCCCTACTGCACATCAGATCAGTGAACTTCTGCTCAGGTTCCTAATGATTAGCTTAGGTCTTAAACAGTCCTGTTGCCATCTTTGACTAGGACTCCTGGGTGAAGTATATTCTGGCATAGAATTGACCTGCTCCTTTCCTTCCTTCATTCCAGTCCAGGCAGCTGTGATTCCTGCCCTCCTGGAGAGTGCAGACAGTGGGTTTCTGGTAGGCAGAGGTGGCTACCAACCTAGCGACCTCTGTGTTTCTGCCCCAACGGGCAGCGGGAAAACACTAGCCTTTGTCATCCCTGTGGTACAAGTGAGTATAAGAGTACAGGTTTCTAGCTAGAGCTGTTACCACAGCGCGGGTCCTGGTAGCACAGATGACCTCTGTCCCTGCAGGCCCTGTTGCATCGAGTGGTCTGCCACATCCGTGCATTGGTTGTGCTTCCCACTAAGGAGCTGGCCCAACAGGTATGACGGCCCTGCATCCAGAACTCTGTTTCCCCAGTCTTAGTTACCCTGCTGGATGTATGTGGTACTTACCCCTAGACCACCTGTATTAAATTCAAGAGTTTTCACTGTAGCAGGGGCCACCATCTATCTTAGGCCAGTGACAGATTCCTTTTGCAGGTGAGCAAAGTATTCAACATCTACACGGACACCACACCTCTGCGGGTTGCTTTGGTGACGGGACAGAAGTCACTGGCCAAGGAGCAGGAGAGCCTTGTCCAGAAGACGTAGGTGTGCCAGGTGGTGGCTCTTCAGGAGGTCCTTCCCCAGCCCAGTTGGTGTCCTTTGGCTGGGGTGGGGTTGGTGCTTTACATGTGAGGCGTTTCCTTTCTTTGAGTCTTTCTGGTTTGTAGAGTAGATGGTTACCGTTGCCTGGCTGACATTGTGGTGGCCACACCTGGCCGCCTGGTGGACCACATTGACCAGACCCCAGGATTCAGCCTCCAGCAGCTCCGATTCCTGGTAGGCCACCTTCTCTGGACACCAGGGCTCCTGAGCTGGGGTGATCTCAGCAAAGAGTCTTCAGTTGGCCTTTGCTCCCTGTCTCCTGTAGATCATCGATGAGGCTGACCGGATGATAGACAGCATGCACCAGTCCTGGCTGCCCCGAGTGGTGGCAGCAGCCTTCTACAGTGAAGGCCCCTCAGGCTCCTGTGCCCTGCTCCAGAGGACACAGCCCCAGGCTGTGACTGCTGCCAGGTACCCTGCTGGTCCCTTTCTCAGGTCCCCTTGCTGGGCCTAAAATAGGAGTCATAATACGCCCTTCACCCTGCTGATGTGCTCGTCATTTTCCAGCACTTGCTCTCCCCAGATGCCTCTCCAGAAGCTGCTCTTCTCAGCCACACTGACCCAGAACCCTGAGAAGCTGCAGCGGCTTGGCCTCTACCAGCCAAGGCTTTTCTCCACAAGGCTGGGACACATTGGCCCTAAAGACACAGTTGAGGTGGATGGAAACTTGGAGGGGAAGTACGCCTTCCCCGTGGGGCTCACGGTGAGCAAGTAGGGCATGTGGGGCAGGTTGGCGGCTAGGCCCAGGGCTTGTGGCTAGCCCTGCTGTCCGTTTCCCACAGCACCACTATGTGCCCTGTCGACTCAGCTTGAAGCCACTCCTTGTCTTACACCTTGTCCTTGGGATGAACTTCTCAAGGGCCCTTTGCTTCACTAACTCCCGAGAGAATTCCCACAGGTGAGTTGGACCAAGGTGGGTGTAGCCAATACAGACTAGACCTTGGCACCATCTGGCTTGTTTCTTCCCAACCTAGGCTCTTCCTGTTAGCACAAGCTTTTGGGGGTGTGAGCGTGGCTGAATTCTCCTCCCGCTATGGGCCTGGCCAAAGGAAGAAAATCTTGAAGCAGTTTGAACAGGGAAAGATCCAGCTGTGAGTACCTGGAGAACAAACAGGACCTGACTATGTAGAGTTGGGGTGTTATTGGGCCCCTCTAGTTCCTGATAGTTGGTTCCCGAGAGGCTTGGAACTAACCCTGTGTCTCGTCAGCCTTATCAGCACAGATGCTACTGCTCGAGGCATTGACGTGCAGGGTGTGGAGCTGGTAATCAACTACGATGCCCCCCAGTACCTGAGGACCTATGTGCATAGGTAAGGTTAGTCAGCTTATGAGCTCTTGGTCATGATATGTGGGATCACCTTGCATAGTGGTTTGTGTGCAGTGTGGCCAAGAGAACAGCTGTCCTGTTAGGTCTCCAGGGCCACTGTCAAAACACACTCATGCTTGGTTTCAGGGTTGGCAGAACAGCCCGAGCTGGAAAAACAGGACAGGCCTTCACACTTCTCTTGAAAGTGCAGGTAAGACCATGTAGTTCTCAGCAGATGTCGTGGGTAGATCCATGCTGCTGCAGATGCACTTGGTCCTGACCCTTTCCCATGGAAACCCTTCCCTCTAGGAAAGGAAGTTCCTCCAGATGGTGTCAGAAGCTGGGGTGCCTGAGCTGGCACGTCATGAGATCCCCAGGGAGCTCCTGCAGCCACTAGTTGCTCGTTACGAGACAGCCTTGTCTCAGCTGGAGAAGACTGTCAAGGTGAGTGCTTTTGGGCCCAGGTGGGGTTTTTGCAAGTCCAGCCTCTACTCTGGTAATGTCGTCACACACTCTAGGAAAGGGAGGCAAGCAGGAAGCAGCCTGATGCCATGTGAAAGGCCTCCTGAGCACGGCACCTATCGTCTCCCGGTTGTAGGGCAAGGGACCTGCAGACAGCAGGTAAGGGTGCAGCAGTGCAGAGCTCCCTTTCTCCCTAGGAAGAGCAGAAGCTGAAGGCGGCCTAGATGGGAACAAGCGCCTGAAGGGAGCGTCCTGCTGAAATGAACATTGTGTGTAAGCAGAAGATACAGTTCCTTGGGGTTCCAGCGGAAACCCTTCCCCCACAAGCACCATGGTCATCTTGGGCCAGGCAGCCTAGATAGTGGCTTAGTCCTGAAAAGTAACAGCCCTTGGTTTGTACTGCTGGCGTCCAACTGGTCTTTGGAAATAAGCTCAGGTAAAGCCGAAGGGTGCCTTCAGGAGCATGATGAAAAACTAAGGTCAGCATTACAGTGACTGCAGATTAAAGTGCTCCTAGCTTTAGCATCTCATGTCTACAGAAAGAGTATGGTGAGCCTGTCCCAGACAAGTCATTAGAGTCCAGGAATAGGTTGGTGGCAGCCTTGAAGATGTTTCTGTGACTACTAGTCTTCAAGATGGTTTTATAATTAGCTACCATCCAAGTATAAAGTAAACTTAAATGGGGGCTGGAGAGTTGGCTCAGAGGTTAAGAGCACTGACTTCCAGAGGTCCTGAGTTCAATTCCCAGCAACCACATGGTGGCTCACAACCACCTGTAATGAGATCTGGTGTCATCTTCTAGCCTGCAGGTACACATGCAGGCAGAATTTTGTGTACATAATAAATAAATAAATCTTAAAAAAAAAAAAGAAGTAAACTTAAATGATGGGAGAGTCCTTGTCTGAACATAGTCAAGGAGACTTAGTACTTATCTGTGCTCATAGGAAGGCCTGTTTTTGAAAAAATAAATAAAAAAACATTAAAAAAGATAAAACTTTTTATTTATGTTGAGAAAAAAATAAGTGGATAACTTTAACCCATGCAAATTCTCTGATAGCTTCAACACAGGAACCACTGAGCTATCCCTCTAACTCAGGAGACCTAGGCTAGCCCAAGAAAGTAACACAGGCCACAGGTGCCATCTTCAGGCCCTTCCTGACTCTAGGAACTTGGATATGGGAGAGCCTCCCACCATTCTGCCCCAGCCTTTTTTTTTTTTTTTTTAATTTCACATATATGAATGTTTACCTGCATGTATGCCTGTGTACAACATGTGTGCCTAGTGCCTGAAGAGGCCAGAAGTGTGTGTCAGATCTCCTAGAACTAGAGCTACAGACAGTTGTGAGCTGCTGTGTGGATGCTGGGAACTGGACACAGATCCTCTGCAAGAGTATTAAGTGTTCTTTTTTCTGTTTTATTTTTTTCGAGACAGGGTTTCTCTGTGTAACAGTCCTGGCTGTCCTGGAACTCACTTTGTAGACCAGGCTGGCCTTGAACTCAGAGATCTATGTGTACCACCACACCAGGCTGCATTAAGTGTTCTTAACCACTGAGCCATCTCCCTAGCCCCTACCCAAGTCCTTTTTTAATCTGGATCTACCACAGCCCTGACTTCCCTTGCTTGTACCAGGCTGTGTCCCTTGTTCCCGTTTTTGCCTCCTCCCTGTAACCATCCAGATTGTTCATTGCCCTAAACCCAAGCTAACATCACTTTTTTTCTCACAGGATCTGATTCTTTCCCTATACCCAGAGATCCTCCTGAATACTGTCTGTCAGGAGTGAGTTTAGTGAGGTCATATGCTGGCTTTTAGGTGCCTGGGTAGCTGGGTGGGTGTTCACCTGACTTTTTCAGTAACTTTAATAAGATTGCTGACATTTAAAGTGCCTGAAGGTCATAGTTTCAATGACTAGTTCATGTATATTGGGCCCAGGGAATGATTTTCAAAGGCATGTTTAATTAGAAATGCCTGTTTTCTAACAAACTTTTTTTTAAAAAAAATTTTATTTTATGATTAGTTTAATTTTACATATCAGCTACGGATTCCCCTGTCTTCCCTCCTCCCACCCCCTATCCCCACCTCCTCTAAGGCAAGGTCTCCCCTGGGGAGTCAGTCCAGCCTGGTAGACTCAGCTGAGGCAGGTCCAGTCCCCTCCTCCCTACACCAAGACTGAGCAAAGTGTCTCGGCATAGGCCCTAGGTTCCAAAAAGCCAGCTCCTACACCAAGGACAGGTCCCGGTTCCACTGCCTGGGGGCCTCCTAAATAGTTCAAGCTAATCAACTGTCTCACTTACCTGAGGGCCTGGTCCAGTTCCATGGCGGCTCCTCAGCTATTGGTTCATAGTTCATGTGCTTCCACTAGTTTGGCTATTTGTCCCTGTGCTTCCTCCAATCATGGTCTCAATATCTCTTGCTCATACAATCCCTCCTCTCTCTCGCCGATTGGACTCCTGGAGCTCCACCTGGGACTTGGCAGTGGATCTCTGCATCCGCTTCCATCAGTCATTGGATGAGAGTTCTATCGTGACAATTAGGGTGTTTGGCCATCCGATCACCAGAGTAGGTCAGCTCAGGCACTCTCTCGACCATTGCCAGTAGTCTATAATGGAGGTATCTTTGTGGATTTCTGGGGACCTCTCTAGCACTCTGCTTCTTCCTATTACCATGTGGTCTTCATCATGGTATCTCTTTCCTTGTTCTCCTACTCTGTTCTTGATCCAGCTGGGACCTCCCACCCCGCTAAGCTCTCTTGCCCTCCATTACCCTTGCCCTCCATTACCCACCCCCCCTTACCCCCAGTTTGCGTATGTAGATCTCATCCATTTCTCTGTCGCTGGGCGATCCCTGTGTCTTTCTTAGGGTCCTCTTTTCTAGGTAGCCTCCCTAGAGTTGAGTAGCAGTCTAGTCATCCTTTGTTTTACATCTAGTATCCACCTGTGAGTGAGTACATACCATGTTTGTCTTTCTGAGTCAGGGTTACCTCACTCTGTAGCCAGATGGAATGCAGGGTTGAGACTTGCTTTGTATACTCATATATGGTTGACTTTGGAGAAAGTTCTATAGGCTGCTGAGAAGAAAATGTATTCTTTATAGTGTTTGGGTAGACTGTTAGATGCATTTGTTTTATATGTTTGTTTTTGTGATGGGACCTAAGCATCAGGAATAAGGTCATTGGTAGTGTTTTTGATGTGGTTATCTGGTTTGAATGGGTGTTTGGATCTTTGCTTGCTGTTAAGTTACTTCAGCTTGTCAGGTGTGGACCAAGTGAATAGCATTTGGTTGTCAGTTCTTAGGGTGAGTGAGAGATGTAAGTGCAACCTCTGAGCCTAGGAATAAACTTTCAGGCTTAGAAGATTGTTAATGCCAATTTTCAGAAGTTTGCAGGGGCCTTGCTGGGTTCTGTAGGTGGTCGGTCCTTGGGTAGCAGGGGCTCCAGTCACTGTGAAAGTGGACAGTGCTCTGAAGGTGGGTTGCAGGATGCCACACCATCCTCAAGTGAAGGTGAGTGGAGTAGTGGCCAGATACTGTGTGATCGCCATGGTGTCCTGGTGTGTAGGGTGGTAGACTGGCTGGGGGTGTCTGCCTGGAGTTCCATGTCAGACTCCATACAAGGCTGAATAGTGTCGTGGGTAGGATGACTCGATAGGCAGGCCAAATGGGTCTGGGGTCAGAGGCTATACAGCCTTAGGGTTGTGCAGTGGGTGTGGTGACTGATAGGCAAGCAGGTGAGTGGAAGTCTTTTTTTTTTCCATTCCTCCTCTGTGAAAGCCCCTGGCTAGCTTGGTCCCCTTTGCCTCTCTGATGGGGAGTAAGGGTGTGCACCACCACACCTTGCTTGAGGGCCAGCCATGTTTATGGGCAGTGTCAGAAAAGATCACATCTGCTGTCTTGTCACTACACAAGATCAGCACCCAATTGTCACCTGTTGGGCCTGAGTCATTAAGGCTTGTCTGGGTCTGTGCAGGAGCAGGCATCTGGTGAAGGTGGTGGACACACCAGAAGAGGTGGAGACCATGAGACCAGCCAGGTGGAGGGCCACCTGGGGATCTGCCTGAATGAGGCTGGATGTGAGCTGAACCCAAGGCCTTTCAGAAAGATGAGATGTGAGATTCTAAGTAGAAATCAAACACTGTTTTTCTGGTGTCATAATGGAAGGTGCCTTGGAGAGGATTTTATATGGCTGTACACTGGGGGAAAGGCAAGGTCACCTGGTCACTTACAAGGCTGAAAGGAGGCAGTAACAGCCGCTACTGGGACTACTCATAAGCAGCTCCTGCTCATAAGGCCTACTCCCTGGTGCCTGAAGAGGGGCCTCAACTTGCAGTCCTCTTGGCACTGTGAAGCCCTGAAGCAGACACATGGTGGGAAGCCGTGCAGGAACCCAAGTATGGCTTTACAGAGTGGCTTCAAGGCCAAGGAGTTAAAAAGGAAGAAAGCTTTGTTCCTTCTGCAGCTTTGGAGCAATACACATACAGAGCGCCTCTGGTGCAACATTGCTTCTTTTGTTTTCTCACCTTGCAAATGAAAAAACAGAACAAGAAGGGTGTAGAAAGGTCACTTTTATTAGCCTTTGCTTGGTAGGACAGCAGTGTCCTTTTAAAATCCTATTCAAGTACAAATGCTGTGTTTACAAAGTATTTACAATTTCAGTCCTGTTTCTTATATTACAAAAAAAAAACCAACAAAACGAACAGCTATCTGGTTGAAAAATGAAAGAAAGTAACCACCAAAAATGAAGACCTCCCCCACCTATAAATCCACCCAACCACTGGGCTTGGGCACACTGAAGGACGCTGCCACAACATGGAGAAAGGTGAGTGCGACACTGACAAAGGACCCCATTGAGCTCAGTTCTGCCTGAGGACTATAGGGAACAGGAAGTGCTGCTGGGAGCCAGGATCCTCCAAAGGCTCTTCCCCCAACACAGCACACACCAAGCCAAAACACAGTGGGTTTTTGCTTGTAGACCACGTACAGGACAGG